CACACAGACAACCTCTCGTCAACATGCGTTTTTCGCATTGCATTGCTGCAAAAAACGCATAAAAATGACTGAGAAACTTACGTGGACCAAGCATTCCGGACCAGTTGTACACCAGGACCACCGTAAACAAGTTGAATAACTGGATATCGTAGCCCAGGAACTGCTCCGAATGGCCTGATCAACAGCGCATAATGTTTTCGTTTCGAATTTTCCGAATGGTACTCGATTAATTCCGGGTTATCGGCTGTTTTTGGAAAGCACATACAATCTGCAAAAAAGAAAAAACATGTCATAAAGTCTAAACGATCAAATGTTTGCCTCCATGTCTGTTTCCGGGTAGTCTAGTGCCACTGAAAAACCCCTATATATCTGAATCTACCACGTCTCCTTTGGTGAATAATGGCCAAGGGACAAAGAATCGCTGGTAGTTGAACTGACAGGCTACAAAATTAATACACCTAGTGCTTTTCTCCAGAAACAAATCCATATACTTCGACCTATCCGATATTTGTGCGCCACCTACTCGAGAGACGCCCGAATAGTCATTTTTCGAATATTTCAAGAAATTTGGAAGGAATCTGCAGAAACAAGGGGAAGCAAAGTCAAAAACCAATATACTCTCGATATCCATCCCTTTGCGGAAAAACATAGGCGCACTCGAAATATTCGCGCCTTCCCAGTAACGACCATTTTTGCATGCAAAAATTTCAATGAACCTCTATTCTTGAATTAATTAAGCTGCAAGACGAAGGTACTTCAAAAGCTCACCTACAAAAACGGCTGTTTGCTACCAGAAAACACTGAAAACGATTTTTAACAATACCTAGAAACGATTTGCTACCAGAAAACACTGAAAACGATTTTTAACAATACCTATTTTTTGAGTTAAATGCTGTTCTTTGCTAAGACTGGGTTGTGGTAGATGAATGAGATGCTGCAGTACAGCGTATGGCAGGCGATCGCCACGTATATGATGTAACCGGTAAAATACACAACGCGGTGGCATTTGCAGTGAACTTTCCCAACAAACAAATCCAATTTCCGGATTGATACGCAACTCGCTTTCCATCCTTTCATACCTTAATTATATTCAGAAAAATTATATTTGAGCAAGGCAGAAAAAAACTGAACTTATGTGGCGAGGCTAAAATTCTTCCATATTTGTCCTCTATGAGCAAGCACGAGTGAGCACGTGTCAAAAAAAAACCATCTGCCGACGAGGATATCGGCAAATTTTTCTTTCAGAAGTTGCTTAGAAGCAAGCTGATGGCGGTTTTGACTCCCTGGCATATATCAGTACTAATCTGCCATCATTTCTTAACAAAGAATGCATATTTTCATGATCGGAGTATATCACCTACGAATTCAGATTGCTTTTCGCTGCAGAAACTAGGGTTATGAACATGTCAAAAGACAAATCCACTTTTCATATGCATTTTTGGCAGTTCAGGAAGGAGAAATGGAAAACAGACGAATAATACAAACAGATAAAACAAACAAGCAACGATAAACGGATGTTTTATAAACCTGTAGGAAACACCGATGCTATTCAAATTTTTTACTTGCGTTGAAGAATCGCAATAACATGCCACACATCTGAAATAAACTAATGTTAGGATCAGAAAGCTGAGAAATGACCTTGAAACAGAGAAAATGAGTGAGCACGTACGGAGATAAAAAGCTTCATCGTTTCCTAGGATTAGTAATGTTTTCGGTGAGGTGTAATGGGTGGACACGCAACAAAGAAATCCCAAAACAGCTAAAGCCTTGCAAAGTACTTCCACCAAATGAACCGCTGAGCTGGCAATCTC